CTCTTTCCTGCCTATGCATCTGATCTGTTGAGGTCCCTTCTGACCCTAACATCTATGAATCTATGTTCCTGTAACAGCCTCTTATAACACTTTTGTTGTTTGTATTACAACAGTGGGGAAAGGTTCCAGCGAAGATCATCCCCTTTGTGACAGGTGCCATATACATAAAAAGTGAGACAAAGTCCCTGACACAGAGCTGAAAGTTTACATACAAGACACATGAAAAGGCAACGTTAGAAAGCTCACATAAATCAAGAAACTTTCCAGTGACTTTCCCCATGTCACACAGAATCTGTGACAGCCAGGACTTGAACTTAGTTCTGCCAAAGCTGGTCCCAAAGTCCCAATCCTTTGAGAAAACTACAATCAGTTTATCTGCTTGATCCCAAGCCTAGGAGTCAGAAATCTACTTTATTTTCTGATGCTTTACCTGGTAACACATCACAAAATTATTAACAAACATGGAGTGCTAAACATGAACCATACACAGCAGCCCCTCTCTAGCATAACAAGCCATAAAAATCACTATTTGTGTTATAAAGAAACATGGCCAGGGATATTTAAATTATATTATATAGAAACACACACATGCACAACACACTATACATATCCCCACCTATCCAATCTTCATGGAGACTCTAATGGATTGTTTTGTAATCATAAAATCACACCAAGTTATGAAATACTAAAGCAAACACTTTTAGGCATTATCATCCTAGTTTTAACACCCAATGCTCCTAATTTAAGACATTGCTGGAATACTGATTATTCTGAACGAGCCCACTACCTTATTTTTAGGCGTAGCTCATTGTCACCAAGTAATTCTGTACTTTTTACAGTACAGTTGCAGCCTTCCTAATGCCTGACCTATTTAAAAAGCCTCTCTTATGTATTAAAAAGAAGTAGAGAGACTTAGGACTTTGCCTGCTACCATTTCAGCCTCAGTTTCATGGTCAGAAAAGTAACGCAGAAAAATTCAAACAATAAATATTAGTATATATATATAGCATCAAGTGTTTGATAATACATTGAGGGAGGAACCATCTTTTTAAAGAGATCACGCGCATACAACTGGGGCCTCCTGCTGCTATCACATTACTGATATTAAGTCAAAATCAGCAGCATTTCAGCCGAATAGTCCCTAACCCTTGGAAATGTTGTCTGAGCATATTCACACTGCCACCATGTAAACATAAAATTCAAGACAGCAATGATGAAGACAGTGCCAAATGCCACTGTTTTGATAGTTACATGAGTACCTAAATGAATTTCAATATAGATTTAAGTATCCAACATAAAAGCCAAAGAAAACTTTATTCCATTTCTGTTTCAGCTCTCAACTAGCCTCTCTGTAATGGTGTACTGCTCACACTCCTTCAAAGATCTGATGGAATATATTTAAAATGCTTATACCAGAAGCAAGGAACTACTTTAACCCTCAGAGATGATTTGGAAACAGAACAAGAGCAGGTGTGCAAAGCCAGGAAAAACAAGGATGGAGCCCAGTGTAGAAAGACTGATTAGTGTGGGCCTGGTGGAAGAGACAGAGGATCAGGGCACAGGAGGGTCAGGCAGGAGATGCACAGAAGAACCCAAGCTAATATGGCTTTAATAACCCATGTGATAAAGTGTGGGGTTCAGTCAGTGCATCATAATAAATCTCTTCTAATACCAGGTTCTGTATCATACAAGAGTATAAAATATTTAACGTACGAGCCCAATATGCAAATTCTTCAAGATGCACCAATACTATAACGGTATTCTTTTTGCCTAAATGCATTTTGGTGATATATTCTGAGTAAGTCCAGATTATGCATTCTGTGTTTTCAATTTCCTTATTTAAGCAGGGGCACTGTACCTTCTTCACACCCCTTCCCCTCCCCCCTCAGAAGTGGTCCCTCGCGCCAACCCTCCTCCATGCCTCAAAAAGGTTACAGTAATTTCTTTCTTAAAAAAAAACCCCACAGATTGGTGATGCTTCTGTAACATTTAAAAAGATTAACCTACTTAAAATCTAAAGGATGTGACTGAAGGAAGCAGGGTTCTGACGGGCTTCTTTTTTTTTTTCTCCTTTACCTGATGCAGATATAAGGTGAAGATAGATTAATTTACTGCTTGTGCCAAGAGACATGAATGAGGCATCCTCAGTCATCTTGTTTCTTCCCCCCCCATACTACACTCCCTGAAGTGAAGGCTGGGCAGGAGCCAATCCACGACTAAGTAAAGCAAGCTACTTTGTAAAAGATGTCAATTATACTCATGGTAAATGCGTTGACACAGCCTAGTTCAACATGTTGCTTTCAGCGAATGAAATATTCACTTGAAAACACAGATAGGATACTACCAAATTGATTCTATATCTTGGAAAACATGTCTTCCCCACAAGAAGATAAGAACCTCAACTTCTAACACTCAGCAAAATTAATAGTGTTGTAAGTGTTGTTATAAAGACCCGCCCACCCTCCTTTTCTGAGGATTATAAAACTAACCTCCGATTTCCAGAGACTTTTGCTGGGAAAATATGGTTGTAATACAGGACCATCTATGAAAAGATGATATTGTTAAATGCATCCAGCAAGCTAAGACCAGGATCAGGTAAGCCTAATTGATGGTTTTTATTATTTGTATGTTAATGCATGTCCGGGAAGAAGCAAGGACCCGCTGTGTTCAGTATCATGCAGACAGATATAGCTGTAGATATCCCTATAAATATGCCTGTCCCAAAGATCTTAGAGTGTAAACAACATAGGTGTTTGTCACACAGATTATACTCCCCTGCGGTATTTGTGCACTTTCTAGCAGTACATTAAGTGCAACCAATAGCTGTTACAGGTGCTTCCTTCTTCTGTATCCTTTTTTCACAGGGGCTACTGGGTGCACAATCTAAGTTTGTTCTTCCTGGCTTCCATAAGCAAGATGCACAACACACCAGCAAAACACTTCAGATAGAAAAATAGTTGCACATATTCCTAATTAGATTTCCAGAATGCCTCCCCACCACCTTTACCCAACCAGAGCAACCTGCTCTGCTCCTGTTAAGCCAAAGTCTTCTCTGCCCATTTCCCTGCACTGCTACCTTATCACTGCTTAGAGGGTGCCATCACTTCTTCCGCATCTTGAAATGTTCCACCAGCAACAAGGAAAGGTCTCTAGCCTCCAGGGAGTCCTGAAACATGGGGTGGGACCTCCTGCCCTTTGTCCACACTCCAGAAGAGGGGTGGACATCAGAGGCCAAGTGCCAAGTACAGGCTTGCAAAGAGGGTTAGGAGAATGTTGGAGCAGCTTCCCATCTCAAATCAACCTGATGAAAAGGGGACCAGGTCCTCTCAGCCAAGGAGGAGGGAGACTGACTTTCCCAAGTACAGGCAAAGGAGACTTTCCTCTGGGCTTGTAGAAGAGCTACAAGCACAGTGATTCATGGAATCATAGAAAACTAGGATTAGAAAGGACCTCAGGAAGTCCAACTCCTGCTCAACACAGAACCAGCCCCAACTAGCTCATCCCAGCCAAGGCTTTGTCTAGCCAGGTCTTAACACCCCCAAGGATGGAGAGTCCACAGCCTCTCTGCCTAACCTACCCCAGTGCTTCACTGCCCTCCTCATGAGAAAGCTTTTCTTAACAACTAACTCGAAGTCCCCTTGCTGCAACTCGACACCATGGCTCCTTCTGTCGCCTGCCGCGGGGAAGAGCCCACCTGTGCCCCTGACGGCTAGTGCCCAGAAGGCGGCTCCGGTCCCGGCCCCAGCCTGAGCATCTCCCGAGGGCCAGCGTGGAGCCCAGCCGGGCTGCTGGCAGGGGGTGCTCGCGGGCAGCTCCCGAGGGCGGCGGCAGGGCACGAAGCGCGGTGCCCGCCCAGGGGCGCTCCTTACCTGCGCGACCGAGGCGAGGAGCCAGGCAGCGAGCGCTAGGAGCTGCCGCGGCGCTGCCATGGGCGGGCTGCAGCCCCGAGCCGGGGCCCCGCAGGCGGGCGGCTCAAGCGAGGAGTCCGGGAGGGCTGGCTCTCCCGGGCTGGGGGCCGAGGCACGGGCATGGGCAGGCTGCGCCTGCTCACCCGCTGCTGCTACTACATTTATAAGCGTGCAGGGCGAGCGCCCGGGGCTCGCCCCACCTTTACACGCCTTAAAGAGACACTGCGACTGCCCCCGCCCCGCCTGCCAGCACCACTGACTCGGCTCAGGGTGATGCCGAGGGGCGCCTGGAAGCCGACTCCGAGGATGGAAGGGAGCTCAGGAAATCACCACTAGTCCAGCCCCCTGCTTAAAGTAGGACCAACCTCAGCTACATTATCCTACCCAACCACTTGTCCGGCCGGATCTTAAACCTCCAAGGATAGAGAGTGTAGCCTGGGTCAGTGCTTTAACAGTGAGAGAAACTTTCCAAATATCTTCCCCTGCTGCAATTTGAGAGCATTGTTCCTCGCTTTGTCATCTGCCACCACTGAGAACAGTCTAGTTCCATCCTCTTTGGAACCACCCTGCAGGGAGTTGAAGGCTGCTATCAAATCCTCTCTGTCTTCTCTTTGGCAGACTTTACTTTGGTCTTTGCTTCTCCTGGCCTCTATGCTTATTCTCCTCTTCCTCCCCGACAGCAGCTGGGGCTGGCTGCCTTGCCATGCCCAGGCCAGCTGCTCCACTCCCTCTTGGCAAAGGCACCCAAAGAGAGGTATCACCTGGAGCAGCAACCTGAGAGAGGTGCTGAGACCACCCACCCAAAAAAAGGGAAGCACCCTGCCTGCCCTGCCCTCGGTGTGCTAGTGGCCTAGGAGCCTCTGAGCACAGGGCTGTGGTCACAGCAGTGGAGAGGCTGCCCTGGAAGAGAGTATCTTCCCCAGCCAGCCTAACAGGAAGGGGAACAGGCTGAAAGTCACTGAAGCAAGTGTCCATTAAGTGCTACCTGCCACTTAACCCAATGCAAGGAAGAGCAAGGCTCCACATATTGTGTGTGTGTGTTCATCTGTCCTGATCTCCAACCCTCTGGCAACTGCACCCCTATCTAGCCCTTGCCACTTACCATTAGGCTCCAGCCCTGCTCAGGCCCAGGGCATGGAGCACAGTTTCTCTAGCTCCAGCTATGCCACAAAGCAGCTGTTGTGGAGGTGTAACACCAACTGGGCCCTGGAGCCAGAGCCAAGGCTGCAGCTACTGTGTCCACTACCCCCGCTGCATGGCTGGAGCAGGGCCAGAGTCAAAATGGAGGGGAGGGGCAGGTGCATGGGTGACAGGCTGCAGCTCTCACCCTGACCCCAACTCTGGGCCAGAGCTGGAGCTGCAGCAGCTGCCTGTCCCCACATCTTATACTTGAATCCAAGATGAGAGGCTTCTTCCACCACTATGTTAAATGGGGGTGGGGTGGGCCTATGAAAACCATCTTGAAGTCAAGTAAATATGGTATGATTCTTTATTTGCACCATAGAAAATGCTCTCTCTGTTGAATGCTATTTCTTCAATATCTGATCCAGCCAGATGCTAACTACAAGAAAATTCCTTTTTCCCTAGTCATTACTGACATTTCATTTTGTTTATTTAATGAAGTGAAATAAATAAATACACAAAAATAGAACACTTATCATCATCATGTTTACATTTGATAATACATAGATGCTTCTTTATTATAATACTTTATTATAATTCTATTTACAGAAAACAATTTTATTATAATACTATTAATGCAAGCTAGCTGCACAGCATAGGGGGGGGAAGCTCTGTCCACCTTGGCTGGTGAAGGATGAGACCTCGTATGCTCACATCTCAGCCCCAAAGCACTTTATTTTATTTATGCCCAGAAAGCTCTCTCAAGGTTAGCAACATTCCCCAATCTTTGGCAGGGCAGTTAGACTAGGAACATGTCATTCAACAAGCTCTCCACTCCCAGGCAGGACAGGAGTTGATTAACTGCAAACAGTTCCTGATCTCATTTACTGCCAGCCAAATTATTAAAAAGGAAAAACAACATAAGGTGACTGGAACAAGGATCCTGCAAACTCTTACTTGTGTGCTCTTAATCTTTAAGCATGTGAACAGGGCAATTGAATTCAGAAGAGCTAGAGCATAAGCACCAAGGTGATATGTGGTGCTGGAATAAGAATCACCTGGTCTAATCTAATGGCAGTACAAAAAGCAGCACTCAGATCCTGATGTCTTGCTCTCTGCTTAGCGATTGGTGAAGGGTAGCTTTAAAATGCTACCAAGATCGGCATGGTAGTACTGTATTGCAAATACCTGTGTACCATACAAGACCATGGAGAACTAGCTTCCCAGATGCCAAAACAATGTTCCAAATTCCAATACTGCACCTAGGCAAACTCGCACTTAATTTTTTGGGATGCTAGAAGCTCCCGCTCTTCAGTTCTACACCAATGACTTGTTCTCACTGTCAGAGGTAACCCACAAATAGCATTGAAAACAGAGCTGCAGGTGATCAGCGCCTCTGGAAGTCCAGTCATTGCCAGTTGGGTGCTTACAGGGGGATTTATTAGCCTTGCCTTAGGCACTTAAGTGTGAAAGCACTAGCCAGTACCTATAGCCCTACATCTGCTCATGGAAGTCAAAGAAACAAATTGTAGCAATTGAACAGGAATATCAACCTGGCCAAATTTGTGTTGGCAACTTGTGAAACCACAAGAAATTGTATTATTACATGCATTTCTAAAGCTCACACCATGAGTATATTTGAACACTCCCATAAGCATCTGGGCACATAGTATTTACAAACTTAGATTATCCCTGGAAAACGCACTCAGTATTGAGAGGCCAACTACATATGGGAATCCTAAATAAAATTATATTTTTATGAAGCAGCATGTGTGTGAACTAGAGACTGCCACATCTTTCTTCAACTTTTATGCATGTCAGCCATTGTTCGGACATTTTTGGCCCCTGCAGTGAAAGCAAGGTGATTTGAATGTTTAGATTTAAATGTGAATTCCTAGCCATTATTTTTCTGCTGGGATTTATACCTTACTTCATCTAATAATTCTCCACAATCGGTTGTTCACATGACAAACACAAATAATACAGTAGCTAAAATTAGAAAGCAAATGCTTATTCAATGCTTATGCCCGTATAAAATCCACCACAATATGAAAAACAATAGTGGCTTTCTTGGCTTTTTTTTAAATGAAGCTGCTTAAAGATGTAAACATTGTGTAGTTCTTATTTTTATTACTACATAACTTGAGAGCTTGAAGCTCCTAGTCATGGAATAATATGGGTTGAAATCTACATAAAATAAAGAAAAAAAATGCAGTAATTTAGCCAAGCAAAATACAGTCTCCAGTTTATCAGGAATGAGCAGTTTACAAATTTCACATGGCAAGTTATGCTTATCTGCTTCAAGAAAAGAAGAAGATATCTTCTGGCATTTAATGACTACCTGAAGGTTCAAGGCAATACCAAGCTGGATGTTAACGGCCGGGAAATGCTGTTTTTGTTAGTTGTACTGGCATTAAAAAGAATGTGAATTTAGCACATATTGGGTGCTATTTTCTGATCTTGTATCTTCCCTTTCCTGGAACAATGACTGAGGATGCATTATCTATTCAGTTATAGATGCTCTTGGACTCCTTTGACCTCCGAAGTTGGGTCTACCTTTTGCCTGGAGTTGAGATCATACTCAGGGGTGTGTTAGAGTTTCGTGCTGGTATAGTGTCTGTCAGCTAACTTATTTTGGCTATGCTGGATCCCCTTGCAGCTTTTAATACAAATGACCCTACAAAGCTGCTTTGCTGACAAAGGTGTGTTGCCCTTGTGCTTGGAACGGCCCTACACTTCTCCCTGTTGTTCCTAGAAGCTAAGTACAATTATCCAACATGGAGATGAAAGGCAGTGTCCCTGAAGGAACGGTTTTGTCTCTCATGTTCATACAGGAGACCAAGTGACAAGACTGTTTCTCACCATGAAGCAGAAGGGTATATTAATTCTTGTTTTGTGGACCTGGTAATTTTGAGGCCCATTCTCAAGAAGTGTTTGGACAATATTGTCCACTGAACACATCAACTCTACTTTGACATCAGAACTAGGATCAAAGGTGTGGTGGTTAAGAAAACAATTTAGGAAAGGAAATTCATTCTTTTGCAACTCATATTTTTCCCCAAGAGGTAATGAGCCTAATTGAGAACCTTGATCCATCACATTGATCCATACTTATCATATGGCAATCCACATGATTAAGATAGGAAAGGGTTTTCCTTCAAGTGCAAAATGTGTGCAGGCTATACCCCAATTTAAAATGCCACTTTGTACCCTGAACAACATGACCTTGTGATCATAAGACATGATTACTGTAATTCTGTCTTTACAAAGCTCTCTAAAGGTTGCCTCCATGGATTGTTGTTTCTGCAGAAGGCTACTTAGGCAATTACTATTATGTCAATCCTTATAAAGGCTGATATAATACAATGGGTTGATTTTATGTTGCATTTCTGATGCACACACCGATTTACTTTGTAGGCCCCAGCAACCCTGTTACCATAGGTGGCAGAAGACCAGGGCTAACAGGGCTCAGGGCCCCCCGACAGGTAGGGGCGCAAGGGAGCCTGGCCACAGGCTCTGAGAAGCTGCAGCAGGGTTGGGGAGGGATGTGCATGCAGCAGTGAGGGAGTGGGGTGGGGGCTGGGGCTGCACAGCCAGAGCAGGATGCAGGATGGAGCTGCAAGCAGCTCATCCAGGCGGCACAGCTCCTGATGCTGCATGCAACCCCGGAGGGCATGAGGTGGGACATGTGTGTCCCGGATCTGCGCACGGGGCAAGGGCTAGGACGGCACCAGGCTCTCCCCAGTGCGGGGCTGAGCTGGGTTGTGCTCAGGGTGGGTGGCAGCAATGCTGGGAGGGGGAAGTACAAGGAGGCTGCAGCAACCCCAAAATTCACTGTAGCCCCCCAACCCCTCCTTCCAGCAGCACCACTGCCTGCCTTGAGTGCAGCCTGGTTCAACCCCCTGCTGGGAAGAGCCCAGCGCAGACCCCCAGCCCCAGCTCACAGCGGCAGACCACCTTCACCCTGCATACAGATCTGGGGCACATGCCCCCCATACCCTCCCAGAGTGCATGCAGCACCAGGAGCTACCACCGCCTCTCCACCCTGGGTGCCCTCCCAGACAAGCCATTCATGGTTCTGTCCTGTGACCCATGCTCTTGCTTTGGCTGTGCAGGGCCTGCCCCAGCTGCACTCCCTCCCGCACCACCGTGGGGGTGGGGGAGCAGGGCAGATTGAGGCCCCAGCAGTGAGGGAGGGAGCGGAGCAGGGTCTGAGCTGAGTGGGGCCCCA